GATTGATTTAAACAAATGTATTGATCAGATGACACTGGTTCTTCTTTATCTCTATTAGCCTACATTCGCCTTGGTAGCCACACCATATTAATCCTATTCTTAAAAAGTGAGGTTGAAGGGTTCAGGTCTTAATCATGGGATGAAACAGTGCAACAAAGCAGTAAGTGGGCTTGCCAGAAATATAACAGTACAGTGAACAAAAAGGAAGTGAATAAGCATTTTCTGCTGCTATTGTTGGAAAGGAATCACTATCAAGGCATCTCCACTTGTCAAAATGTAACCCAATACTGAACCTTATTCCTGTGATAGGTTGAAAGATAAGTTGACTGACTCCTAACTGATTTGTTATATGGGTTGTATTGTTTATATGTTTAGACACAGGAATTGGGATAAATTTATCTGACTTACATGTTATTGTGAACACACCCACCTCTTAAAGTTACTCATGAACTGGAAGCCAGCTAATCACTCTTCTATTTTTCTTTTTCCAATTTTTCAAACCAGTCTTTCAAATGAAAAAATGTGCATATTGAGGGGAAATGCATATAAAAGTTCATACATTGGTAAAATAGCATGCCAAAAAGCTTTAAATTAAAGTAAATATAATGTAAAGTGAGAACAAAAGTACATAGCAAGGAAATTGTATATGAGAATATGTGCAAATCTTTGAGCAGACTTTAAAAAAACCAGAATTGGTTGTAGAAATTGAATGGAGTGTACCTACCGCTGGAAAAACAAGCTGTTATTTAGATTTTTTGTTAGATTTATATTCTGCTATTCCTTCCAGGAGTTCAAGCAATGTACTTACTTTTCTCTCCTTCAATTTTCCTATAACAGCTCTGTGCCGCAGGTTGGCTTGAGTGATTGAATATCTTTGCACAGGAATGGGTAGCTCATGGGTAGAATGTGGCCATCAGCTACCAGATTTTAGCATATCCATCTTTTTTAAATGCCCACAAAGCCTGGAAATTTGCCCATCTGTCAACATCATCATCCATCTCAGACACCCTCTGCACCTCAAAGGGCAAACTAATGTTTAAAGTTTTCTAACTGTGGCTTTATAGGTCATGTGAACATAGCCATTTATAAATAAAAGTTTATGAATTAATTGGATAGGTATCCAGCCAGGTATAGAGCTTACTCAACAAACCATATTGATATAAGTCACAGATTAGAGAAATGTGTATACCAGATCATTTCCTAGACTATTATAGATGGTCACAGAGTCAGCCAGATGTTTCAAGTGTATTTGGCATTTTTGCCAAATCTATCAAGTATTTTCCATGTACCTGGGCTAGACAGATGATGTTGTTCGATGGGATTAAAGAAATTGTCACAGGCTGTAAAGATGTGACTATAAAGCTGACCCTTGCAATTGACTGGTGGTGATCTTGTCAATGCCGAGTAGCGCTCCAAATGTTTTGAAATTACACCCAAGGCACCTATTACTAACTTTGCATTTTTTTGCCACAGCCATTTGGCTTCTGTTTGCAAGTCATTACATTTTGTGATTTTCTCCAGTTTTTTTTCTCTTCTATGGTGCTGTCTCCAGGTATTGCAATGCTCATTATCAAGACTATTATTATTCAGACAACTTTCCTGTGAGACAGAGACCGAGTCACAGCATGTATTATCCCATTAAGCTATTAACTTCCCTCTCTGTTTTTTGCTCTTACTTCACTTCTACACTTGGTGATGATCAATCACACTTTCACAAATCTGAGGTTACAATTGTATTCCACAGAATGGAGTTCAGCAAGAAACGTGCAGATGGAATGAATTCAGTTGTGAACACTTAACTCTCCTGTTATAATTTTTCACTCTCCCCATCTGGCATTTAGCAAGCAGCTTGCCTTACCTTTCCACGCCTGAGATTTTCTTTCTTCCCCTAATTGATTGAAGTGTTTACAGCACAGACTGAGTTCACAAAGAAAATGGAGCATGTTTTTCATGGCAATTGGGAACCTTTTGCCTGATAATTTTGTTCAACTGCATCCAATCACAGAAAGGGTCATTTATTTCCTCTCAATTGGTCTAGGCTTGGTTTGGTTCTGTTTGAAAAAGCTTCTAAGTCTACACATACAATTTCACCTAAGGCATATGAGCATATGAGAATGTGTCAGGTTGAGGAGAGAGAGAGAGACAGCCAGAGAGAGAGAGAGGCAGAGAGAGAAAGAGACAGACACAGAGACAGACAGACAGACAGACAGAGAAGCAGAGGGACAGATTAGCTTCTAAAGAAACATCTTCACTCACATGAACTTATCTGAATGGCATGTGACTTTCCCAGTTATAGTGCAGTATATATGAAATACTGTTCCTCTGAGGCAGGCTTGTCACACAGATTTACTACCAAGTAAAATACCTATCCCTCAGGGCCACCAACAAAATGTAACAGCATTATTCCTTTGTCGTGTTTCCATAGTCTGCTGAGCCCTCTTCCATCCCCAGCCCCCTTCCACTTGTTTTCCCTTTACTTCATTCCATAGTCATTTTTCATTGTATTTAGCAAAAACTTGGGGCTTCACCTTTATGCATGACAGGTGCCAGCTTGTCTGTTGGTACTTATCTGTCAGTATCAAAGACTGGGAAAGCTATTTGTATAAGTATGCTTTTTTTTCTTCCTAAAAGAAAATGCTATTTTACACTCACCCCCATCCCACCCCCAAACATTAAATGTTTTTTTTAAAAGGAAGATAAAAACAAATATAAACTAGCATGAAATTAGGAAGAAGAAGAAAGAATAAAATGAAAGAGAAAGCTAAAAGTGCAAGAAAATAAAAAATAATTGGCAGGGTAAGGTTTGATCTGGACATAAAACAAACAAACAAACAAATAAATAATTCAGCTTACTGATGACAGCTGAGCCAAAGGCGATGGATAAGCTCACCTAGCAGCCTCAGGTAGATGTTAAAAGGAAGGAGAGTGTACAAACCTTATGGCATCCCACCATTGGTGGGATTCAATTTTTTTTTACTACCGGTTCTGTGAGCATGGCCTGGTGGCTGTGGCAGGGGAAGGATACTGTAAAATCTCCAGTCAGAGGTGGCATTTGCAGGTTCTCCGAACTACTCAAAATTTCTGCTATCGGTTCTCCAGAACTGGTCAGAACCTGCTGAATGCCACCTCTGCATCCCACATAGCAGGGGTTGAGAGAGTGATCAACCTGGCTTCAAAAGAAGGTGGTGAACCATCACAACCACCCACTCACCCAATCCTCTGAGGCAATCCAGAAGGATATCACCATTGATGGCATCAAAAGCTGCCAAGAGGTCAAGTAGGGTAAGGGTGGATGCACACACACACACACACACACACACCATCTCACCCTTCTAGAGATAATCCAAAAGTGTGACCAATGCTGTTTCCATCCTATGCTCAGGCCTGAATCCCAACTGAAAGGGATCTGGATATCCAGACTTTAATGATTGTCTCCAGTTCTTGTTCTTCTATTTTCTTCTGTCTCCAAATATTGCAATGTCCATTAGCAAGACTTTATAATACTTATTTGCTGCCCAACTCCCAGTGACTCTGCACAGTTTACAATAGTTAAAGCATTTAGAAGCATTTTTTTAAAAAAAAAAACCTCCAAAACAATACATAACAAATAGTAATAGCAGTAACACTTAAGACTTATATACCGCTTCGCAATACTTTACAGCCCTCTTTAAGCGGTTTACAGAGTCAACATATTGCCCCCAACAATCTGGGTCTTCATTTTTACCAACCTTGGAAGGATGGAAAGTTGAGTCAACCTTTAGCTGATGAGACTCAAAGTGACGAACTTCTGGCAACCTGCAGTCAGCAGATGTAGTCTGCAATACTGCCTTCTAACCACTGCGCAACCACAGCTCTTCCTGTGATGAGTCAATGGCCAATAAATCAATAAATAAACCCAGAAGGGATCTGAAAGAAAGAAAGAAAGAGACTTCAGGTATCCTTGCCTAAGGTCCAGGTGAAGAGACAAATATTTAAAGCCGTTCAAAAAAATAAGTAGGGTGGGACCCACTGAAATTTTGGTGGGAGCGTCATTCCTGAGGGTATTCTAGTTATTATTGTTTCTAGAAACCTATATTCTAGTTTTCAGCTTCTTTTACTCTTTTCACTTCTATCCAATATTTCCCATCCCCATATCTGATTAATCTTTGAGGCAGTGATAGCATCCTTATGCTCAACTAAACCTGGAGTGGCCTCAAGAAGATCCATTCTTACTCTAATATTCCATAGTTTGGTGATACGATGATCACTTGTAAAATTTTACTTCATTTGCTGCTGCTGATATCATCACATACATTACTATGTCAGGGGGAAACTAATATATACATTAATATGGTATAGGAGATGATACCCTATGTGGCTTCCATTTTCAGAAGTAGCATCACATTTCTCATGAAGTTTAACTCCACCCTTCAACTCCATTTTGACAATATGCTATGCAACTATAATACAGGGAAATAATATCCACTTGCAGCCAAAAATGTATTTCCATCTTCATGCTGTCCTGCCATAGAGTATACTATACATCATCTTTGGACTATATACAATTAATTTTCTCTTCTTTGCCCATCTGCTTCTCCTTTTTTACCATGTTTTTGTTACACTTGTTTTTAAGGTCACTATCACATTTCATTTGAACAGCTGGTGCTTAATATCAAAAGATCATTGCATGATAAAGTTACACAGTCAGTGAAAGACAGATGTCATTTTAAAAACTCATTATGTTCTACTGTTTGCTAAAACAAGCACATTATGAGTACATTTTTAATAAATTATTTGTCTGATGGTTGAAGAATTAAGCTCCTTCAATCAGAAAAATTTATTTTAATCTTATTTGAAAGACTGGAAAATTCAATTCCCTTTCTTCGTACTTAAGAAACATGGCCAGACTTCACAATTCTATTTACAAAACCTGAAAAGAAATGACACTGTAGGAATTACCTTCATTTGAGATACTATAATATGCAATTTCAGGATCAAAACTTTTTTTTTATAATTTTCAGGGTAACTGTTCTTTCAGATGGAAGCCTGCAAATTCTGAATGCCTCCAAATCTGATGAGGGGGAATACATATGCCGAGGAGAAAATATATTTGGTTCAGCAGAAATTACAGCTTCAGTATTTGTGAAAGGTGAGATATATCACCGGATTCATCTGCATAGGTTTGCACCAGGTAAAGTTGAGTACTCCAACAAAACTCCAACAAAAGTCAGTTTGGTCTAGTAGTGGTTTAAGGCATCAGGCTAGAAACTCTGCGTTCTAGTTTCATGTTAGCCAGGTGAACTTGAGCCTGTCACTTTCTCAACAACCTCATGGAATTATTGTTGTGGGGAA